TCTAGCGAGAGGAACCCTAACGCCATTGTGTTGAGGCCTGAGGACTTTAAGGGTGTGCCCAACGTTTATTTGAACGAGGAGCTTCTGGAAGCTGAGCAAAAGAAGCTTTATGAAGAAAAGTTGGAGGAGGTGAGGAAGCAGGAAGGTATCTTGTAAATATAGCATTCGTTACGGAAAAGACATGTAGAGGAAGCCTAACTCGGGGTGTTTCATATTCATATTTGATGTGTATAATGCCTTGATGCGAATCGTGGGTATAGATCTCAACCCAGCTGACTGACTTATTTCTTTGTTACGTAGAAAATGGCTGCAATCGCTGTGGCTGCTGCAAGCACACCAGGGATAAGGGTCTGGTTTGAAATGCCTGGAATCAAGTCCTCGGCCAGCACTCCTCTAAGCGGTTTGATCTTGCCCACTGGTGCCTCGTCGTGAGGATGGTGGAGGTAGATGTCTGCCTTGAAGATATTCAACTTCTCGTGTACCTCGACACAGTCCCTTAAATCATGGTCCGAGGTGATGGAAACGATATCGCCCTCGTCATCGACGTAGCTGATGGCGTAGGCCTCACCTTCGCCTAGCTTCAAAGCCTCGAGGTCCTTACTGTGGAGCTTCGAATCAACCACATCCTTCAACTCCTGAAGACTTTGCTCTGGGCGTATGGTGACTCTATGAACCCTGCTGGCAAGCGCTGGGGAACGGAACTTGAAGACGAAAAGACCGTCTCTGTTGGCAATCGATGCGGTCTTGCTCATTTGTTTAGAGCCTTCCTCGACAGCCGAGATCGAGTCCGATGGATTTACATCGATGTTGAACGATTGAAACTCAGAGGGGGTCACGTCAGGGGCACTGGCGGCAGAATCCAGGTGCACGGACTCAGAATCGTTATCAAGCGATGTCCAAAACTTATTCCACGCTGGGCCCTCACCCGGCTCCTCCTTGCCTTGATTTTCCTGATTCTCAATCCGTTTGATTTGGTTGAGCGTGGCGTATGTAAGGCGTAAAACGTCCACGATACCCACAATCTCGTCCTCGTCGTCTACGACGGGCAAATTGAGATAGTGGCCCTCGAACATTTGCCTCAAGGCCTGCTGGATGGATAGGCTCGAGTTGGCAAAATCAGGCTGAGATGTCATCACACGCACCACAGAGCACTTCTTTGGATCATGGCCGGCAGCAATGACTCTTAAAACGACATCCTTCGACGTGATGATACCGCTGACACTGTCGTTCGTATCCTTGACCAAAACGGCTGTCGTTCTATTTTCACGCATCAAGATGGTCGCTTCATACACCGACAGCTTCACTGTGGTGTAGACGGTTTCTGTTGTGGGGTCTAACACCAGCGCCAAGGTGGGACCGTCCATCTTCAGCTTCAAGTCTTGGAAATACTCAAAAACCTGTCTTGGTTGGTCGGCCATGCCCATTTCGGTGTGGACCAGATCCAAGGCATCGTAGAGTTTCTTGGAAGAGGCGTGTAAGCGCTCGAGCTTCTCCATCTGCTGAGCATAAGACTTGGTGATGTCTAACACACCAACAATATGGTTCTCGTCGTCTAGCACAGGCAAGTGTCTGAACCCTTTCTCGACCATGAGTGTGAGGGCTTCCAGAGCTGGAGACAGCGCTTGCGTGCAGATCGGATTGAGCGTCATAATCTGCTCAATTGGGGTGCTGTTGGCGTTCAATCCTGATCCCACCACTCTAAAGGCCAAGTCTTTGGCGGTAAAGATACCAATAAGTCCACCAGCATCATCCACAACAAGAATGCAGTTTTCTCTTTTAGCCAGCATGAGCTGGGCAGCTTCGTAAACCGAGGCCGATGCCTTGCACACGATCGGATCAGACGGATTCAAGGACCAGACGGTACCCGGAGCACCCTTTTTCAGGCGGCTGATCCGCAGCCCCAGGCCTCTTTTCTTTGAGAGTTCATGCTCAATTTTGCGCCTAATGGCCTCGTCCTTCTTAGACTGTCTTTTGCGCAGGTCTGGCTGGGGGCGTCGAAAGGACATGAGTGATAAAGTAGTTGGTGTTTGTTGATGTGTGCGCATAAAGGTAAACACAGAGATGGACCGGGCCAAAAGGGGGAGGGTGCAATTGTAGAGGGGTAAATTATCAAGGAAAAAAAGTGTGCCTATATTTGGTGTTTATCGAAAGAAATTGAGTTCACTTTTTCTTAGCTTCACTAACAATGCGTTGGTGGTGGTGAAGGAAGGAGCATGATTTTGCAACCATTCGCACAAGGAGTCCATTGATCGGATCCGAGGTGGCATAGGATGTGCCATTTTAGTTTTGCCGGGAGGGCTCTTTTGATTTGAGTGAATAGCTGTTTCTTGTGTTTAAAGCCCCGATTGGTATATGTAGCTTCCTTTGAAGGCTCGACTTGGGTCCCGTTCAAGGATATCGTTAGATTCCATGGTTACACGTTTCGCTACTTCGGAAATCTCATCAATCGTTTCTTTTACATTGGTAAGGGATATTTGTGTCATTCGAGGCGGCAATATCTAGTTGACTGTGGACCAGCGCAATCGGTCTTATCGACAATTGTCGATATATACTGGTTCTAGCACCCTAATTTGATTCAGAAAGCCACAACTGGAAGTTTCGAAGCTATTACAACGTAATCTTATGACTATAGTTTGTTTTTTTGGTTGTACGATTTTTTGGGGTGCTCGTTGGTTTTCGATATTCTGTGGAATCTGGTTGCACACCGACTATTTTGCGAACCAGGATACCGATCGGAACAAAAGAAAAACCGAATGGAGTTTTTATGATCATTTTTTTTTTTGAGATTCTTTCATGAGCTATACTTACTAGGAAATGTTCGAGAGCAATGAATTTGAAAAACAAAAAAAAAAGTTACTGTGCCTGGCTCCCTTGGAACATGTGTGTGGCGATCATCTTCTGGTTCTATGAGCTCTCTATCATGCAAGCTAGCAGGTCGATGAAATAATGTCGAAAACTTACTTCCATAGAGAAGACTTGTATCTTGAAAGAGATAGGTTTCCGTACGCGAACCAAAGTGGGGTTACGTGAGGACATGGCAGATTCGAACCTGTTTCAGGACACACTGCCAGGCGTTTTGCAACTAAAAACTAATAGGCAAAACTAATAATAAAATTCATGTCTCTTTTATTCTAGCATAAAAATAGAGCGGCTTCAAATTGAGATTCCCTAAATATTAGGTGGTGCTCGACCACCCCTTCCGTTCCAGGTTTTTGCAGCCACTGGTGCGGCGTAGGGGTATAAAAGGAGCCCGATCCGCCGAATTTTATACTACACAATTCATTATGATTGATCTTACAGTTTTGCAGAAAATCGCCGATGCACTTCACTTTATCCCCTTCTCCTGGATCTTATTCGATTTCCTCAAGGATATACTTATTGCAATCCTCACCACCGGGCCTGCTCCCAAACACGTTGGCTTCATTATGGATGGCAATAGAAGATTTGCTAAGAAGAAGGCGTTGCCCTTGAAAGATGGCCACGCCGCAGGTGCTTTATCTCTTATATCTGTATGGTCCACCCTAAGTCCCAGCGACGCTAATACTAATCTTAGGTTTTGGAGACTTGCTACCGCGTAGGAGTCTCAGACATAACCGTGTACGCCTTTCTGATCGAGAACTTTAATCGCTCAAAGGAGGAGGTAGACACCCTCATGACGTTGCTCAGAGACAAGCTCAAGTACTTATCTCTTTACGACGACTCTTACGCACGCCAGAACCAGGTTAAGGTTCGGATCATTGGCAATCGCTCCATGATTCCAGAGGATATCTTGGAAGACTTGGAGCAGGTGGAGCAAATCACCAACGTGGAACTGCTGCTGCGTACTTTGAATGTGTGTTTCCCTTACACCTCGAGAGATGACATTGTTCATTCTATTCAAGGCGTTTGCGAGAATGGCACCTCAAAAGCCAACATCGACGTCGCGGAGCTCTACAGAAATATGTACATGGGACCGGAGTCTCCTCAACTTGACCTTCTTGTCAGGACATCGGGCCATACTCGTTTGAGTGACTTCATGCTTTGGCAATGTACCCATAATTGTAAGATCGAGTTTGTCTCGACCTTGTGGCCCGATTTCAAATTCATTGCCTTGTACAGCATCTTGTTGAAGTGGTCTTACTACCACAAGAAGGATATCATGAACCACAGAGTCAACAACACTCCTCCCGACAAGGTTGTTGATATCACTTCACTTCCAGCTCCACCCCCTTTTGCAACAGTGACTGGTAATTAGTCTCGCTTCATCAGTTCATATGCCTCAATGTTCGGTTCATCTTACTTGGGGGTTCAGTCTAGCTTGAATGTCTGGACCACCTTCTTCACCTCCTTCTTGTTCCGTTCCCTGATACGGGCTTCCTCAACCTTATTCAAGTAACCCATGTAAACAACGACCTCTGCTACTAGAATCAAGAGTCCTGCAAAAACGCAGAGCAACACACGGTAGCTGTCTCTCATATAAGCAGAGCTATTGGTCCAGTACCAAATAGCATACACCACGCTCACCACACTTATGAAGATGTTAAAGATGGTGGTGATGTGGCTTCTGACCTCCTTGCTTGCTTTGGCCGGGTTATAATCTTCATCGATCTTCTGCTCGTAGAGCTTGAATGGATCTGCTTGTGTCTTTTGGACGAGTCGCTGGTATTCATCTTCTTGGGCTTGAATTCGAAGCTTCTCCATAGCCTGAAGAAACTCCTTGGTCTTCGGCGTGTCCTCATTTTTGGTATTCTTGTTTGGGATCACCAACTTGGAACTTTTGAGAAGCTCAAGAAGCGATGAACAAGGTTTGGCAGTACGGTAGAAGTTCACCAAATCCTCATGTTCCACATTCTCGTGCAATTTGAATTTGTCCTTTTCCGAGTCTTTTAGTGTGGAGCTGTCGACGAGAGTTCTTAGCTCCTTGGTGACAAGGAACCGAGTCATAATGTGGAGTTATTACGGAATTGGTGCGCATTAGCTTATCAACTAGATCCAACGTGCTACACCTTTTTAGACTCAAAATGCCTATCGCGACATCTACAGTGGTTGGAGCGTTGGCATGTCAGAGAAATTCCTTTTTGAAGTCATTTGAAACTCAAGTCATCTCTTGCAAGCCATATGAGCCAATCTTGTCTTCGAGAGATAAGCAGAACAAGAACAAGGTGAAAGATGACAAGAAGGACGAGGGATTATTTTCCGTTGAGCTAGAGGACACTATATTGTTTCCAGAAGGTGGGGGTCAGCCATTTGACACAGGTAAACTCATCCTTCTGGATGATACCACAGTGGACGTCATAAAGGTGTTGAGGAAGGAACTCTCAGCCGTTCATGTCGTGCCCCAGGAGGTCAAGGAGGGAACAGTGGTCAAATTGAGCCTTGATTGGGAAAGACGACTTGACATAATGCAACAACATACGGGTCAGCACTTGGTATCGGCCATTTTTGACTCGTATGACTTGGAAACCCTCAGCTGGTCTATGGGTGAGTCTATCAATTACATCGAATTACCCAAGAGAGTTGACGATACCATTATTGCCGAAGCGTCCAGAAGAATAAACGAGAAGATCGTTGAAAACATACCCATCAGTGTTGCCACGCCAGACGAACATGGCCATGAGATCGATGTTTCTCACATCCCAGACGATTATGACAAGTCCAAAGGTGTCGTTAGAATTGTGTCAATTGGAGACATGGACACCAATCCTTGTTGTGGTACTCACTTGAAGTCCACCGGCCAGGTTCAAGCGGTAGCTTTGTTACATCAGACTAACATTAGAGGAGGTAACTCCCGCTTGCACTTTGCCTGTGGTTCACGTGTATCGAAACTTTTAGAGAAGAACCATCTGATTTTGAAAGATGTATCTGGCAGCCAGCTTTCATGCCAGATCGAGGAGGTGGGAACAAAAGTGGCTGAACTCAATGTCAACTATAGAAAAGTGCTTTCGAGAGAGGCTTCTCTCCTCAAAGAATTGGCTGGCCTCAAAGCTGCAGCTGTTTTTGAGGAGCTAAAAGAGAAGAGTGTGGCATTTATTTATAGAGCAGACAGCTCGCCAGAGTACTTGACTGCTTGTCAAAAGGAGCTCCTTACGCTCATTAATGGAAACAAGGACAGCGGAGTCAACTTAACCGACGCTAACACCGTCGTGTTCATCAACGGCGAGTATAAAGGTGGAAACGGCGGAATGGTGAAAATAATGGGCCCCCGTGCTGAAGAACTTCTGGCACATATCAAAGGCTTCATCCAAAATATCAAGGGAGGAGGCAAAGGAGCCAGTTTCCAAGGAAAGGTTACCAAGTATGAAAAAGGCGAGGTAGAGAAAGTTTTGGAATTCCTACAGCTGCAACAGTAACCGGTGAATATATACAAGATTAACGTTTGACCCAGGTAGGCGATTTTCTGGCCTTGAGCTTGCCAGGCTTCTTTCTCTCGACAATTCTGTTGTCTCTAGTCATCAAACCGGCCTTTCTCAAGCGAGGTTTGAGCAATGGGTTGAACACAACCAATGCTTTGGCAATTCCATACATACAAGCCTCAGCCTGACCACTGACACCACCTCCACTGCACGTTATGAAAACGTTGTATTCGGACTCTTGCGCCACAACCTGAAAGGGGTACACAAGCTTGCCTGTGTCGAGAGTTCTGGTAAAGTATTCGGTCGATTTCTTACCGTTGACCAAGATTAAACCCTCACCTCTGACCATGCTGATATTGGCCACGGCGTCCTTTCTTTTGCCGACAGTGTTGGCTCTGCCAAATTCGTCCAAGGTCTTGACAAACAGCTGAGCAACCTTCTTCTCGTCACTGGTTTTTTTCGTGAATTCATCCAAGGTCTGAATCACGTCATGGGGCATGAGCTCAGGTTCTATGCTTCTGAGTTTCTGCAACGCTTGTACAAACTCTTTGTAGTGGACTGGTCTGATTCTGCTGCCCGAATTTGCTCTGGACTTGTACTCAGCGGAAGAAATGAACAGGATCTCTTTGGCTTCTCTTTCATCGAGCACTCTTCTGGGAAGTCTGTGGTGCTTTTCCAAAAGACGGTTCAATCTGCTCATGACCAGGTCGTGATAAGGGTTACCACCAAAGAATGTCTTCAAAGCAGGCACCACCCTTAGTCTTTCCATCTCAGCGTTGCTGATCTGAGTGTATGGCAAGCTTCTGCTGATTGTGTGAGTGGCTGGTCTGACTTTCTGAGGAACCAACGGTCTCTCTTCAAGAGTCTCCTGAGACCTGACAACGGTCGAGCTGAAGAGCCTCTTGAGAGAACGGCATCCCTGGACGCAGCTGCTCGGCTTTAGCAACGACATGGCTGATTGGAGTGCTTCAGTCGTAGATTCTTAGAAGTTTTTTCGGTGCGTGCGCGATCCATAACGGTGGAAGTTTTCGGATCCAGACGATGATGGAAACCGAATAAGTCCATTTTTTTTTTTTTTTTTAATTGTTTAAAAGTTTGTTTCTTTCAGATTGAAGGAGGAAGGTGAATATACAAGTTCCACGTAAGAAGCTTCGATCGTGACTGATAAACTCGCTTGGACGCATGAATGAAAGCTCCAATGGCTGCGAATTTAATGGAGCCATATCCTTCCTTACATAAGGACTCAAGACACTAGAATGATTCGGAAAATAAGTAAAAGAAAACAAGAACAACTGCCACGTCCACTTAGACGTAGGAAATAAAAATGTTATCTGCGTAGTCTCCTCTACAGACCTAATGCAAGCGTAAAGCTATGTTCCTATTACATATTATAATACAGGCCGTGGAGGCTGGCTATGGTACAGGGCATCACAGGTCATGTAAAAGTGACTTGATGCTATTCTTGCGGGGCGCCTCTGACGAAATGTCGGGCTTGCTTGGTGGATCTGGGGGACGCACAGGTGATGAAGATGAGTTGAGTAATGATGCAAGATTTCCTGGCTTGGGAGGCGCCGGCGCCGGCGCAGGCGCTGGGGCAGATGTAGCAGGCTGCAATATCAGCGATGTCAGGGGCAGTGAAGATGAGTCCGAATTGAGAAGACTCATGATGGAAGGCTTCACACCGCCATGTTTTGCTGGTGGCAGGATAGGAGCTGGGAGAACAGGAGGAAGCGATACTGCCGGCGGCAAGGAAGACCGAGACACCTGGGGGACCTGCGACACATTTGACGCTTGTTCGTACATCACAGGAGGTGGACCGGAAAGGAGGGAGCCGACAGAGGCACGTTTTGGAGGTGATGCCTGGAATGGATGCTGAAACATACCAACGGGCACATCCGAAAACTTCGGTGGGTGCGCCACACTTTCATAAGTTCCGTTGTATTCTTCTGGTCTGCGTCCAGGGGTATACTCCTCTGGTCTCCTCTGAGGCTTCACCACAATGGTTGCATCGATATTAGAAATTTGGGACTGAGGATCGCCAGCACCTTGGGCAAACCGTCCATCGGCTTCCAATACAAGCGACTGCCAACCGTATTTTTCAGCGTTTCTCTGGTAGTAATTCCTGACCATCGTAGCAGTCTTGGTGCTGAGTTTCTTAGCAATGATTGACCATTTGGAGCCAAACTCAGCAAGCAAGCGAGGGAAGTCATTGACTTCAGTGATACTCCAATAACTGGTGATAGCCTTCCTCTTATCTTCCAAAACTGAACCATTCAGACGGTCCACTGAGGGGCTTGTCAACACATTGGCATGAGGAGCAGTCAGCTCAATAGGAGCCACGACTTGATCATGGGGATCCTTTGACTGCTCAACCGTCGCACTCGAAGGTGGAGCTTCCTCATCCTTACGTCTCCTTGACTTTTTCTTTGGTGGAAGCTCAACTCCAGAGTCTGGCGCCACTTGGCCATCGGCAACTCGCTTACGCTTGACCTCATCAACTGGTTCTATAGGAGGAACTCCAATCTCTGGTGTCATTGCAGCTTCGGTGTCTTTTCCACTATCTGTTGCTTCCATAGGGGCAGCATCTGTCGTCGCAGAAGATGAAACATCCTGATCTTTGAATTTTGACTTCCTTCTAGAGGGCTTCCTGGCTGAACGTTTCTTGAACTGTGAGACCAAATACTTGTAATTGACAGCTTTCTTCGTCATGTAATAATGCACAACACATTCTTCTGCAGATCTCAAACCACCAATGAGTCTCGAGATTTCACCAAAACGTTTTGGAGCACGGCAGAAAGCCTCGCAGAAAGCGTCATGCTCTTGTTCGGTGAAATTATCCATAAAGTCTGATTTGATTCTGCTAGCCCAATTCTCTTTATCATGAACAATGTTATTCGAGTCCATGAAGATGAAACTTTGTCGCTCAACTGGGTCAAGAATGAGGTCTGGGATTTTGGCAGATACACGCTGCGCCTTGCCCAATGGGTCTTCATTCTGCTCGTTCTCCAAACTTTTCAAAATCTCTTGGAATTCTGCTTCTGTTGTGACCAAGTCACCATGACGACGGCCTCTTCTACCTGATGAAGCCTGCGGCTCTGTTGGCGATTGCGCATCAGGAGCAGCGTCATTGGTTTTTGCCCTGATATCGATCAGCTCAAGTTCACGTCTCGAATCATCATCTGGAGGGTGAATAATTTTGATTTGCTCCTCCATTTTCTCACACCTCTTCTCATTTTCTTTGTCTAAGGTGTTGTACTTGATCCATAACAGAAGGCGCTTTTTCTTCACATTGTGCTCTCTGCGGTCATACAAGTCCCTGATTCTTTTGAATTTTGAGGCAAACTGCTGAAGATTTTGATAGAAGAAGGGGTAGTCCAGTAAGTTTGCGAGCGGTTTTGCGAGACTGAATCTGAGGAAAGACTCATCCTCATCACGCTCTTTGGCATCATTGAATTCATTCTTCAAAACTTCAAGCTTATGATCGAGTTCGGTGAGCGGCCTGTAGCATCCCTTAGGGTAATCCATGGTGTTGAGATCTTCTGGAGATACCTTTACCAGCTTAAGCTTCTCAATTGACCGAAGCGTGCTATAATCAACCGAAGGTTTTATATCCACCGTCTTGGGAGCCGAATATGGAACAGTATGGGGTAACTCTTCATCCTTGATAATGGGTTTCGCAGCCTCCGTTCCTCCTTCATTCGTGGCATTGAGGTGAGCACCACTGCTTGGTTCTTGGGAAGGAATGCTTTCAAGATGTTGGGCATGATGTTCATGCGAGGCCTCCATGGTCTTCAAATCATGCACCACGGATTCGGAAATTTTCTTAGCTTCGAGTTCGGCGTCACCTTTGTCAGTTTCATCGGTCGTTTTCGTTTCTGTCTCAATTTCTTTATCGCTTTCTTCTTCGCCTTCCTTCATGTTCACGTCTTCTCTGTCTTCATCATGGTATGATTCTTCTGGTTCTCGCAGCTCTTCACGGTAGTATCGATTATCACCATAGTAAGGTCCACCTTCGTCAGCGTCATTATAATCCTCAACGCTGCCATTATATTCGGACTTACCGTCTTCTGCATCGTTGCGGCGGTCATACCTATCTGTGTAACGGTCCTGATATCTGTTGGCGTTGCTAGGATACGAGCTCTTGGCAGGATAATAGGAATCTCCTCTCTTGTTCCCCAAGCTATTAGTGAGGCCCGAGCTTCTCTTCTCCTTGCTGCTATACGGCCTAGAGCCTGAGAGAGATCTTGGTTTATCTCTGGGATCTCTAGGATATGACTTCCATCGACTTCCGTACGAGTCCTCGTTATCGTAATCATATCTCTCTCTCTTATAATCTGGTCCCGAATTTGATAAACTTCCGCTACCTAATCCAGAACCTCGGTTAGCTGCAGGGGCATTGTTGGAGCTGAATCGAGAGGAATAGGCTCTGCTTGAAGGGCCTGATGAGGAAAGGGATGCTTTAGGTCTATCAGACCTCCACAGATCTCTTGCCGAATCTCTCGGTATATTGGAATTACTGGTCACATCTCTGGAGGTAGAATCTTTATAGTCCCAGGTTTCACGATGGTCGCGAGGGTCTCTTAGATCTCTGGCATCCCGCTCCCTGAAATCCCTACCTGAACTTGGGTATCCATAATATTCGCCTGAGGGTTCCCTTTTGCTGGCATTATAAGAGCCGTAAGCTCCACCACTGCTCCTTTCGTTATAATACTTTGAGTTGTAGCCATAGCTGGGCTTAGAACCGCTGTACCGAGGCTCTTTCCCGTATAGGCTCAGCCTAGAACTTCCGTACAGAGGCCCACTGTTTGAAAGACTCGAACCTCTATAACGGGGCCTGCCATAATCACTTGAAGGCGGTTTATCACTCCTGGATGGATACAGTCCTTGTGGAGCAGCACTGTCGGCACCAGGGGGAGAGTTGGTTGATTTGAAGTCTCTTCTAGTCGACCCACTGTAAAAGTT